AGCTGCCGAGCGCTTTGGTGTTGGAGATCCATAATGTTTCATCCACCACTTGGCTCGGAAAACCTCATACATCAGGTGCGTGTGCATGTATTGTTGACACGCAGTATAAAACATGCATGCGCCTATAGATCGCTTGGCAACATCGTGAATCCAACCGAGTGGCTTTCAAAGACTGTATTAGTTTCCTGATACGAGGGTGCCTCTCCATCAAACTCTGGGCCGGCTGTTCCAAGACCCGTGCCCCTCCCAAGCACGAGGTCAGGACCATTAAGAGGTAGCACCTGCAAGCGCGGGCTGGTTCGGGGTTGGGAGATTGGATCCTGGCACGTTGAAACATGGAGCGATAATGCATGCATGCACCTTGACACCATTCGGTTAGCTGATGCTACCGAAACCAACTCAGTCAGCCCCAGCGGATTTAGAAATGAACGGAAGGTGGATCCTCGAGAGCAGATCGACCAAGAGCTACACTTCGTCCCCAGCCAACATACAAAGTGCTCGTCCATCATGAGGAGGGCAACCACGCAAAGCCTGGGAGAAGTAGACTCTCAAAGGTGTCCGAACAAACCGTTTTTTTGATCGAGAAAACAGTATTTTCGGACACCTCGCTCCACAGGTTTTGAAAGGGCTCCGTGGACACAAGAACCGCCACTTCCAGAGAAACTACAACTTTGCAGCTAGGGAACGTGAAGCCAGAAGCTGTTAGAATATCAAAAGCTGTGCCTTCCCCCATCTTATGGCCATAATCTTTTGCATCCAAGATGTCAAGTCTAAATGCTGGATATCCTGCGGCCTGTACGTACTTTGTGGCAATTCCAGTACCGCTGAAGAGCTCGAGAAAACGGGGCGCCTACAGATTGCATGGGTATAATTACAGAGAGAACAGCTAGAACTCAATGAGAGAACAGTTGGGATTTAACAAAATGTCTGGCAAAGGCACCGGGTCGGGCTGAGGGAATTGCAGCCATATACAAAAGAGCACCAGCAGGATGAAGGCCTCCAAGTTCACCCCTTGTTTAATTGAAGTTGGATTGGGCAATAACAATCATGCTATTCCGGCCTTGGGCACGTCCATGAATGCCAGGCGCTTCACGAGGCGGCCAACTCTCTCTTCCGTCCAGGCAGGCATTTGGGTGGGCAAGCCAAGGAAATCAAGTTGAGGCTTGGTGGCTGCTAGTCATGGAAGGAATTCTAAAAGTAAAATCAAGTCTGATATCCACTATGGCCACCCAAGATAGCACAATGAACGAACCCTCAAACTTGCCTGGAGTACCTTCACGTTGGGCTCCAAACTTCTTGAGCAAGGTCTTTCTGCCCTTGAGCGACATGTAGGCCTCCCAGGAGCCAATATCTAGGCAGGCGCTTCGGCGTGTCCACTCGTGTCCAAAATCGGCAAGACACCGTTTTCCACGGAGCTGTAGGCATGACCCCATCCACAGAGCTAGGATTTGTCCGTGGACACAACACGCTGCAAGCCACCCCTACATGGTCACATTTTTGCTGTGCAAACATCCACAATATTTTTGGCATGGTAGTTCTATCACAGAGTGGCTTTGCAGAGTGAACTGCAGCCATGTGAAGCCATTACACTAAGCGTTGGAATGCCAGTGCCCTAAGGCTGCACGAACTAAGGCTGCATTGCCACATTGATCTTAAGTAAATGCTGGCGGAGAGCTTGGCCATTGGCCGGCTCATCACCAGACCCCTGCAAAATGAACTTGTAGCGGTTGAGTTCGGCGGTGATAGCCTCAATCGAGGCACCCTTCAGCCAGACACCCGCCTGGCGGGATGCAGCAAAATCAACAAGATGGTTCTGTCAGGGCATGGCTCCACTCCATTCTGTAATTTTGGACAGTATTATTTTAGAGGCCGGCCTGCCACTTCACCAGACGGAGGCCGTCAACAAAGCATTGAGGAAGCATCTTGCAATACCATACCTTCCAAGCTCTGAAAGTTACCTAGTTATCAGATCTCTTTATTTTTTGTTTCGCTCACGACCTTTTATCGGCTTGTGGTCTCAACTAATTAGCCGGGACACGTGTTTCCATGAACCATCATCTTCACCAATCAAAAAGGCAAGCGCATCCCTGGTGAAATATGGTTGGATCTTGCACTGCTTAGCGTTCTCTTGGTTGAAAGCGTCGATCTCTTTCTTCATCAGAAGTTGTGCTGGTGTCCGTGTTGCGCGGGCCCGTTTGGCCTCCAGGTACATATTCAAAACAAAAAACGAAAGATATTTCAACAATGGTTTGCTTTGCAGGCCTTCTCTGGAGCTTCAGCTTCCACAGCATCGGCGGCGGTGTCAGCAGGCTTGGGATTGGACTTCACTTGTTTTGGGGGCCTTTCTTTGGGCTGGGGTGGGGCTGTCGGTGGTTTCTTGGATTTGCGAAGCGCAGACGCTCTGCATGGGGTTGCAACAGCTTTAGCCTTAGGTGTTTCCTCGGAAGCTGTTGCCTTGACCGATGACTTGGATGTTTTGCCCTTTGATGTCTTGGGCACCTTCTTAAAAGACTTCAGTTTGCGAAAGGAGCGAGAACGGCGTTTGGTATTCCTCAAAGCTTTAGACGAGGATCTTGGTAGTTTTGCTGCCTTTCTCCTGGTTTTCTTTGTTTTGGATGGGAAATCCTTGGCATTCTCCTGTTTCTTCGCGGCCTTCAATGAGTTCTGCTTCACACGCTGCAGAACCTCATGAACAGTGGGCCACTTGACACGGGGAAACTTTAGCATCGCATTGATTTCCTAGCTATAGAGAATACTGCGCCTCCAACCTCCAACCCTACAACAATTATAACTGATGAAAAGGCCAAGTACAAATATAGCATCCAGTATATTGCCACAAGAAACTGGCACGCGCACAGGTTCTGCTGGTACTTCACCATCTCTCTTCTCAGGCGAGGGCACCAGGATGTTCTTGGGATCTGGTGTGTCCAGCAGGTTGAGGGTTTCGTCTTGGTCCCCAACGTACTGGGAGCAAACACCTGACCAGAAACAATTGACATTCAAACTATAATTCAAGCCTGGTTTGGCATTACGCACACACACACACTCAAAGCAAGTCAGATGACATGCACGAGAGGACCCCCGCCTTCCTTTCCATGCACAGCGGAGGTGAAGTCTTCTGACCTTGAGTGATGGGAAAAAACATCATGATGGGGGCACAGGTGTGAAACAATTATGGGTTTTATATGTTAAAGAGCCTTTGAGTTCCAGACTTGCTTTGACCAGCTGGAGGATCAACTTGGGTCTCCTCGACCGGCTCTTCCACGCCCTCATCCGCTGAAGAATCAACCTCTACCAAGGTGTTGTCGAACCCGTCGTCGTTGTCCATGAGCGCTTGTTTGAGACATGAAATCCTGTCAGCAATTTGCTGCGTGTCCGCAGCAGCAGCCCCCCCCGCAATAGCTGCCGACATACTCTTGAGTCTCCTCATGCATGTCCAAAGCATGTAGTTGACCTCTCAGTGCTTCACACCTTGCTGTAAGGTCATCCGTTGTAGTTTCGGGTCCCACATCAACCTCACCCTCAGACTCAACATCGGAGCCACCTTCGCCGTCCGAGTTGGACACGGGCCCAGGCTCTGTGACGGTGCGCACGTAGTTGTCCTGACCGGAGACACTAGATGTTGAGGAAGAATTGCAATATTGTTCCAGCAAGTGGTCCATGGGTCAAGTTTGCATGCATGGTTCAAGGGGCAACTTATGGTGCATGTACCAGCTTAGAGAATGGCATGGCAGCAGCAAAATTGAACACCCTTGGACCGGTGCGCGAACATAATCAGTCTCCTCCGGGCCAAAGAGGTTCACCAAGTCCTGCAGACCTTCGTCCTTCAGGGAAAAAGTGGCAGCGGGGTACTGGATCGTGGAGGCTATTGTATTCAGCTTAAGCTTTGATCCATGCAAACAGAATCAAACAGACTTAGTCTGGAAACCAACCACTAAGATTGGATGAAACGTTGTTTGACCACCGTGTCCCGAGGAACATGGCCACCAGTGAACTTGCTCTTGACAAACCCAATCATGTTCTTGATCCCAGTTGCCATGACATAGATTCGAGAAACCTCACCATCTTCAAAGGTAACCTTGCGAAGAGACACTTCTGTTGTTCCCTTGTATCCCTTCCACAGTGCCGCAAAGACCTTAAGCTGCTCTTCAAGCCGGTGCTTGTGGGGTAAGTTCAAAGTATTTTGGAGCCTCATCCTCTTGATCAATGGCCTCAAGAGCAGCGTGTTCATCATGCAGCTTTCAAGGTCACGGCATGCTATTGGGACATTGGGCGGGGAAGCCACCAAATCACCCAGAGTAGGATAAGCACGCCTGCGAATTTCAAGGTCATCATACCACTCGCGACCCAAGCCCAAAACCGACAAAGGAGGACCCACATTGCGCGCCATGCTGGTGAAAATCCACCACCTAAAACAGATCGATCCAAAATGCCTGCATGAAGTCTTGCTGTAGCAGCAAAGCTGGAAAAAAATGAGGCATTCCTCAAATTGCCTCACGCTTTCAAGTCGCTGTCATTGTCCCGCCTCATCCACACCATCGCGGGATCCATCCGCCGCACTCTAGATCCGAACTGTGGGAAATTCTGGCATTGTCATGTTAGAGATGGGAAAGGGTTGGGCATGATGTATCATGGTGTGCCTGCTTTTGCCCTGTTCCTTGCCACACCTTAAAGAGCTGACACTCCAAGCGTGAGCGGCAAGGCACATGCCAACACCCACCACCATGAAAAATCTGGAGTGCAGAGCGGACCTTTTTTTTATCAATACGGGCGTATACGTTCAAACCACTGTATTTTGTTTCAAGGACGGTGGATTTCATGCAAATACAGAATTCGAACTAAAAAAGGTACCAACTCTGCACTCCAGGTATATATATATATATGGCAGGTTCAGGTGCCACCCAGCCCACTCACCAACGAAGGATCCTTTTTGTGGAACCCCATGATGCCCAGGCGACAGGTGACGCCTCCCAGGCGATATCCCTTCCCAGCCCAGATGCCTGGCATCTTTTGGGAAGCTCTCGACCTTCTCGTGCCTCCTCTTCCTTAGCATCGGCGAGGCCTCTCGACCCCCCCTGGGGTATACGGAAGTTCGATGAGACAAACGAGACAGAAAGGGCACTCATGCCAATGGATCGTGCGTTCTTGAGGATCCTCAATGAGATCCAGAGCTCTTGTATGACAATTTGTATGTCTGGTAAAAGTCTTCAGACATAGAAGGCAGCACGCGGGTTCATCTTCCCCTCGATCAAGTCTTCCCAACTTCAACATGAACAAACAGACTTTGACAGACTCCATCCTCCCACAACGAATTCCCTGTATCTACAAGGATGAGCACTTCCCTCTCCATCCACTGTCCCCCCCCAAAACGAAGACAGATCGACCCGGCCAGACCGCAGGTTCCAATCCGTCTCGCCCTTCCGACCACGTCCTGTGTCGAGCGTCTTCCAGGTCTCTGCCGTCCAGTCCTCCGCCTTGCGCTTGCCTGCGGAGACGATCGGCAGTCCGGTCCCATTTTTCCGCCCCCAAAAAGACACGCCGTTTGTATTGGTTGTTGCTTGATGTTGCTTGCTGTGGTGTTTGCCATCCTGGTTTTGCCATGGTTGCCTGTTTTCTAGGCAGACAGGTGACTGTCTTGTCGGTAGGTAGCAGTTGAGCAGTTGTTGCGTGGTCTTCATCAGCCATCAATGTAAAGATTCACAAACACACTCTCTGGCTCAGCTGCGGGGCTCGCGCCTATCCAAGCCGAATGGCCAACATATGCTCTCCAAACCAAAATCACCCCTCTGACGTGTTCAAAGAAGATAGTCTTCTAGGTTGGGTTTTAGATGTTTAAGGTTTAAGCTTCTACGGGTCTCAACTCCCGTTAAATCCACAGGCAAACACTCCAGTCCAGAGCCTGTGACGGGCCAAAGGCTGTGCCCCAGAGCCAGTTGAGTCTTCTCCTGCCTTGGTCGACACCGCCATGGCCGAACCGACGCATGCAGTCTGCTCCCTCCCCCCCCCGTCCCGGCCACCCGTCTCCCACCACATCAGTGAATTCGGTCGCCAAACAAGCCAACAGATCGGGGCATCCGACCACTTCAACGGGAGCAGACCTCTAACTTAGCGCGACTTAAAAGGGGGTTCGATGTGACCCAGGAGCGAACTGATTCATCGATCAAGATGTGATGTGTTTGGGAGACATCGATCAAGGGAGCGATCAACCCTGCGATGTGTGGCCAATGAACATCGGTGTCCGTTGTATGAGTGATTTCAAATAGAAAGCTAGCAAGCTAGCAGCCGATGGAAGGCCACGGATGGAAGGCGAAACTAAGACATCTGACTTCAGGAAGAAAGCCCCTACAGCTGAAGGTGCAAGGCCAGAAGCTATGCAAACAGGATCAAACAGGAGAATTGGCTTAGAAAGTTGAAAGCTGCAGCTTCTTGGAGAGGTCCGATCGTTCGCATCTGTTTCTGCAAGACACAAAAAAAGAAGAGAGCACATGAGAGCGCATCCAATATCATCCAATCATCCCGCATTCCCTTTTGAGAGAGGGAAGCCCCACTTTTTTCACGGTCTCGTGGCCCGTCCGCAGGGTTTCGTGTGTTGCGTTCCATCAGACGACTCGATCAGAAGCGAGCCACTTCCACAGAGCAAGGAAGTCCGGTTGCATCCCGAAGTCCATGGCTCAAAAGCATGAAAGTGCGACCCTTTTCTGGTGCCGATCGAACAGAAACTGTGCCATGTTTATGTTTTGAATTGTTTTGATATGTTTCTCTTGTGGAGCGGATGCGAGAGCATCATATTGATTCATCATATTGATTCATCATTTAAACCAAATAGATGGAAGAGTCTTTGAAACATGTCTTTTCAACCTGTGAACCAATCCCCCTGTGAAGCCATTGGCGCTGATCATTCAGTGTGTCTTCCGATCTGCGAAACAGATTCAGTGTTCAACCTTCGCCTGCCGGCTTGTCTGATAGTGGCAACACTGGACGTTCAAAGGCCTTCCTCAAAAAAGCTTCGAGCCAATGTTTCAGACATGTTCTGATGCATTCTGATATATTCGGATGAACAAACCCAGATCCACCCAGACTGTCGCAGACCCACAACCAAAAGCTGCGTTGGAGCACAACGATTGCATCGGTTGCTCCACCGTTTCTCCCAAACGACACCGGACGGCACCGGCAGCGGCACCGGTTCCGGCAGGAAACCGGGCGGGCTCCACTCCAGCGGGCCTTCGGATCGCCGGGACTTCTGCGGAGCGCTCGGCTGGAAGGCGGGCCTCGGGGAATGGGAGACCACCGGCACAGGTCTTGGGGTGAAGGCCCGGTGAAGGCCCAAAACTCAACGGTTTCCGGTGAATGCAGGGATGAATGATGTTCGTAGCCAGGCAACCGATGAGGCAAACCGCTTTTGCAGCCCTTTTCCCTGGAAACTTGTTGGTTCGAGCTCACCAGTTGTGGCGCAGCAAGTGCTATATGATATATGTATATTGGCGGCAAGATCTGACTTAATACAAGTCACAAGTGAGAAAGACAAAGAACATGGCCCAGTAACATGGCAGCCATGCCGTCGAGTCAATTCGAGTCAAAAGCCCAACACCTCTCCAACCACCGTTGTTGTCCTTCACCTTTGCGGAAAAAAATGCATATAGAACTTATGAACTTATATGAAACCAAGGTCCGAAAATACTGCGTTGATCAATGGGAACCACCCGTGTCTCCGCGTTCGTCTGCACCGCGTCTTAAAGGCGTCTCCGCCGGCGGGGTCTCCCCGTGTCTCCCGCCCGAAGCGTCGGGTCAGGTCGGGTCGGGTCGGACCAGTCGTCGTCGTCACTGGTCGATGTGAGTCGTCCAGGTGAACGCGAACGTGCGTCGATGACAACGGGTCATGGTCATGCAGGATGAGTCAATGAGTCATGTCGATTTTTTTCCACATCATCCATGAAGTCTCGCAAAGAACCCCTCTCGGTTCGGAGGTCTCGGAGGTCTCGGAGGTCTCGGATGTCTCGGAGTCCGACCCAGGCACCGGCGTCATGGAAAACTCCGGGGCATATCACTTTTTGAATGCTACTTTGGCGGAGAAACAAGCACAAAGGAAAGGATGAGGATCAAGCGGTCTCATGGTTCATGGTGCTTGAGAAGGAAAACAAACCATCAACATCCTGCAATGTTGATCCATTTTGTTGTACTCCTACCACACCAAATCGTCTGGTCTACCAAGAAGAAATACGTTCCTCTAAAACCTTACATTTCTCTGGCAAGTTCAACTTCTCCCGCACTTCGTGTAGTGTAGTCTCTACTCTTCTGTGTTTTCCAGAGTTAGACTCTCGAGCTCTATATTTTCCCTCTACCTTCTCCTTTTTCTATACCCTCTCCAAAAGAAAATACACTTTCTTCACAACTCACAAATCTCAATTCTGCAAAGCAAATGCAAATAAAATCTTGCATGCACCACCACTGGACTCATATCCACAGCAGCCCGGCACTCCTCCCCCGTTCTACGCAACCTAGGCACTCAAATGTCTCAGGCACATTGGATGTACCTCTTCACCTTGGCCACCACCAAACCCCCGCGCTCCCCGCGCATCCAAGACTGCGGTTACGACTCGGTGATCCCCCGGTGGACTCCTCCGGTGGACTCTCTTGGACCGCCACAGGATCTCGCTCGAGCCCGATCGAAAGCTCCCAAAGTCGGTCGCTTCCGCACCGTCCGCCGCTTCCGCCGCCGGAACCGAGCGAGACGCCTCTTCAAACCCCCCTCACCCCCCCCCGAACCGCGAAGTGCCAGGCGGCCAGCTCGGACTTGGGACCTGCACGGCGCGGAAGGACTCAGTCACGGTGCGGAAAACGAGGTCCGGGGGGAGCTGAAGAGAGCCCCGGGTCGTCATGCGGTCACGGACCTTCCAACACAAGAAGTGTGAGAAACCAGTCGGAGAATGCGGTGGAGTGTCTATCGGACATGAAATACATGGTTATATCAAAAAAAATGTTTTTTTTAAATCAAAAACTCTTAAATCATCGGATGATCAGCGCGGAATGGCGGGCCGCGGGAGTCCTGTACATGCCCTCGGGGTGAGGGAGAGGAGCTGTCCCTCATCTCGACAGCGGTGCCGTGCATACCCCAAATAGGGATCGACAGCTGTAAACATGCTGAGACGATCCAAAACAAACAACAAACACGACACACCACGCTGCCATGACCGCAAACGGCAAGCAATTGAGTCATTTGACCACTTGTCAAGGATGTTCAAACAAAGACTTCATCTGCCAAGCTTCTGATGGCTGCTGGTGTCAGACAAATTGAAGTCCACAATGTGCCGATTACGACACATCAGTGCGAAAGACTAATCTCAAGTTGATATCCTCATGCTTGCCCCAGGCAGCTCTGACAAATCCACACACCTGATGCACTATCACAAAGGTTCAACTCCTATGCGCTAGCAGCAGCCTTGTTATATAAGGGCAGCAGCAGGCAAGAATCTGCCAGTTCTCCGTGAAAAACAGACTCTCTTCATACATCTTCATACATCATGGCAACTTGAAACACCATTCCAGCGCGCACGTACAATGCTCCAAAAAGCAACGAGCATGAATTAACACATTGAACTAACAGGGCGTTTGCTGTCGTCATGCAAGCCTGTCAGTTAGGAAAAGGTACTTCACCTGTCACAAGGACAGGGTCAGAAAGACTAATCGATTTCACTAGCATCATGGAAAACTGGCTAAGCATCTGATCTATATGTTGCTGCAGAGAATCAGTTAAAATGAAGTGATATCCGCAATGTGCCAAAAGACACATCGGTGCGAAAGACTAATCTCAATTTGATATCCTCATTTTTCTCCGGGGCAACCAGCTTAAACAAACCCAACCACATAATGCACATACGTGGGCACACAAGCTCGACTTTGATGTAGTGGCCAGCAGCCTACAGAAGTCTTGTTCGCACATGGCGGCAAGCCGCTGTCAGTGAAAGAATTTCCTTCATACTGTCCAAAGGACACAGTCAGAAGACTAATCGAATATTCAAAGCATCATGGCAGCTTACCTCGCCTGGAGCAAGCATCAGATACCCTTTAAAATCATAATGGCAAGCATGAATCGACTCATTAAGCCGACAGGTGAGGACCAAGACCTTCGATGTGATACCTGTCGTATGCAATAACCTTCGCCAGGTCCAAAGGACTAAAAAGGACTAACTTCGGGGTGGCTTCACGAGCAACGTGGCTTCACCGTTTTCAGCTTGGACAGAATCAGCTGTGAACGAAGTGATATCCGCAATGTGCCGAAAGACACATCAGTGCGAAAGACTAATCTCAGTTTGATATCCTCACGTTTGCCCAAGACACTCAGCAACGGGCAATCCGGTCATTGCTAAAGCTATGCAAGCCGCTAGTGACAAACGGTCTGTCCATCGTGCGACAACGACATCAAACGTTAGAAGCATAACAGCAAATTGCCGCCCCTGCCACAAGCATAGCGCATATCCGAGATAATATGACAAGCATGATGCAACTCACTCAATAGCCATCAGTTCAACAAAGTACTTCACCTGCCACATGGACAGGGTCAGAAAGACTAATCGATTTCACTAGCATCATGGAAAACTGGCTAAGCATCTGATCTATATGTTGCTGCAGAGAATCAGTTAAAATGAAGTGATATCCGCAATGTGCCAAAAGACACATCGGTGCGAAAGACTAATCTCAATGTGATATCCTCATTTTTCTCCGGGGCAACCAGCTTAAACAAACCCAACCACATAATGCACATACGTGGGCACACAAGCTCGACTTTGATGTAGCGGCCAGCAGCCTACAGAAGTCTTGTTCGCACATGGCGGCAAGCCGCTGTCAGTGAAAGAATTTCCTTCATACTGTCCAAAGGACACGGTCAGAAGACTAATCGAATATTCAAAGCATCATGGCAGCTTTCCTCGCCTGGAGCAAGCATCAGATACCCTCTAAAATCCTAATGGCAAGCATAAATCACCAACAGCCATCAGTTAAAAGAGTACTTCATCTGCCACAACGACAGGGTCAGAAAGACTAATCGAATTGTACTAGCATCATCTGAGGCCGAGTTAGTGTTTTGCCGGCCGTGTCAGCTGACTGACCCAGTGAAGGTGCTGACTGACCCATGCTACCATGCTGCAATCTGCAGCAAATCCATGCTGCTTCAAGTGGAGTTGGACAGCCTCTCTGGTGCCGCGTTGGGGATACAGGATTGGTTGGAAAGGTGCAAGGAAGTAGTAGGCCAGTTTGGGCGCTGGGAGCAAGTATATGAGACCCGACTGAGCCTTGTTGACACCTTGGAGCAAACTACCAGCTACCATCAGTGGAACCAATGGAGACTTCATTTTTGTCACAAAGGACAGCTTCAGAACACTTCG